TTTTTCAGTTTTTTATTTGTTAAAAAAGTTTGAAATATCCAATAAATTTCGTTCCACTTCATGATTGTGTCTCACTTGTTGTTGATTCTTCACAAAAAATTACAGTTTTATATCTTTATGTTTGAAGCCTGAAATGTGGCAAAAGGTCGCAAAGTTCAAGGGGGCCGAATACTTTCGCATGGCAATGTATGTTGCACTGAGTAAATACAGCTGGATAAAACAAAACTGCGTCTGTCTTCATTTCAGGCTGCAAAACTACAAAATGTGATTATTTTAAAGGGGGGTCATTCTTTTCTATAACCACTGTATATATACTGTATATGGATTTCAGTGATGATTTTGACCACATTAACATTGGTATTCATATGTAAAAGAGTGACAGGAACATATTTCTGAGCATTCAAAAATCAATAAAAGTCACCTGCAAGAAGAGGGTGAGTTCACTGATGCAACAGTTTAACTGCGACCTATTTAAATTGACGATATACACCAATCAGGCATAACATTATGACCACTGGCAGGTGAGGTGAATAACACTGACTAAATAATTCTCTCCAACTTGTCCTCACGACCACAGTTTTCACTCCTTTTACTTAGGTTTTTCACTGAATCGTAGACACATCTGTGCTCTTCCTGACAGTAGAACTGTGGAAGCAAATGGATTCACAGAAGATGCTCAGTGACATGAGTGACAACCAACTGCCACATTGACTCCTATGTATTAGGCCTGGTCATAATGTTGTGGCTGATCGGTGTATTTATAATGTGTGTTTATTTGCACTTACCCCCTGTTAGCTGCTGTTAGCTGTGCTTTTCAGTGTTTCTCTTATAGCACCTCTCCAACTGTGGAAATGGCTCCATATACGTGCAGCTCTCTCAGCTTTGCAAACAGTGTATTTATGTCCAGTTTGCCTGCTATTGGCCACAGCCTGGTCTTTTTAGGATCAAAACCAGCCACATCATTGCAACAGTCTTTTCTCTTGTAAAAGTGGACCACGATGTTTGAAAACACTTCTAATAAAGTACAAATCTCACCTTTATGTATTTTGTCCTGGAGGGTTTTGTTGTCCTTTTCTCCTCATTCTGCAATTTGCTAAATAGATCTGATGTACATCCACGCATTGGACATTGTCACCATTGAAATGCATAAGTCTCCAATCCACCAGCCCCACCTCCCACCTACACCCTGAGCCTCCCAGGCATTAGAGGAACCATAGCAACACAGACTTCTGAGGGAAGAGACCCAGGTTTTTCTTCCAACAGTATCCAACAGATAAAGCACATTATAATTTTCTTGGGTAATGATGACAATAGAGATAGACAATAATTTTATCCAATACAAAATACATCTGTTCATATAAAAAGTGAACAGTGCTTATCTACCCAAATCTTCCACGACTGCTGCATTGCTCACAGTCATACTGGGACCCAACAGTTTTTAACAAAAGTAAATCTGGACATTTGCAATATATTCCACTGTCTCAATGCCCCATATCTCAGATCCATAATATAATATTGAGGCTATCATATGATCAAACAAAAAGAGCTTGAAGGTGACTAATTTCATGCTTACGAACAAACCTCAGTAAGAACAGAGCCTTCTTACCTTGGCTAGCCAGATGTTGATGAGTCTTCCGCCACAACAGCCTGGGAGTAGACCATATGCTCAAATATTTATAGCAGTTGACCATTTTGATCTGCTCACCAGCATAATACCATTTTACATTTCTGTCAAAAATACACCCTCTTCTTCTTAAGTCTAGAATTTTGGTTAATAATTTTGTTTTTTAGGAATTAACTGTTTGAAGAGTTTAAAGACTGACTACAAAGTAAATGTGTCTTCTTTAAAGAAACTCCTCTAACTCATTATCAGCCCTGGTGGCTAGGATTCAGTGCTCTTACTCCTGCTGCCCAGGTTCAATTCCCAGTCGGTGCACCTCTAGCCACAGGGGTTCCAAGCCAGTGACCTCTGTGTAGCTCCCAAGCCTGGATAAATAGAGAAGGTTGTGTCAGAAAGGGCATCTGGTGTTTAAAAAGTTGCTAAATCTACCATGCAAATCATCAGTGTAGGAAACAGACAAATCACTGTGGTGATCCCTAACAGGAACGGCCGAACATGGGACAACAACTCTGGAACATTTTCCATCATATTAAACCTTTTGGTGCAGCTTTAGATGAAATTTTAGTCATGTTCCCAAACAAAAAGACTCCCCCTGGTTCCTTTGCAATTCTCTGTAAAAACTAGAATCAAGAAGCTGATTTACAGAGAAAGGATCTGTAATGCTCTACAGTATGTATGTTTCAGTTTTCTTTGGCTGCATGAGGAACTCATTTTGGTTGCTTTGCTGATGAACTTCAAATGTTTTTTATAAAGTGCCTCTACTGGACAAAGAGCTTAAAATAAAAACTCTCACTTTGTTTCAGAATTCAATGAACCTGCCTCCTGACAAGGTGCGTCTGCTGCGATCCTACGACAATGAAAAGAAGTGGGAGCTGATCTGTGATCAGGTTGGTGTCATTAATAAAGTCAGAGCTCGAATCTATTCCTACCTCATTAAGCATCTTCTGCTCTTCAAGGTCAGAGATACTCTGAAAAACAAAATATGAAAAAGAGTTTTATTTCAGTTGTACTTGTAATGTTTTAGTTAAGTCAAAACTAAATTCATACTTCAAAGCTAATCAGAGCCTCAGGTGACGGAAGAAACTCACCTGATGATAGCTCATGTTTATAACTATGTGTGATCATTTCTTTAATGTTAGCTGTTTTTATTTTGTTAAAAAACAGCTAACGGTGAGGATAAAATTTTGAGTATTGAAAGTAGGTACTTAATGTTTAGATTCAATTTTATTTACTTACACTCTTTGATCAAATAGTTTCTGATTTAACACAGAATTTATTATTTAAACAAAGACCTTAATGTGTTTAACCATATGAAGTATTGAACTCAAACATTCATAGTAAATAAAAACCTTAAACTTTGTATGAAGAACCCGATTTGTGATTTTTTTCTGGTGATATTCATGCAGGTATTGTTGGTGGATGGAGTTAAATATCTGATGTCATCCAATCAAACTGTGCTCATCTCTTGTAGGAGAGGTTTCAGGTGAAGAACCCACCACACACCTACATCCAGAAACTCAGAGGCTTCCTTGACCCAGCCGTCACACGCAAGGTGAGATGGGAAACTGAGTTTCCCGTTTACTGGATTTAAAATTTTTGTCAAGTCATGCTAAAGCAACACTTTTTTCTGATAACTGAAGTTTAACATTTGTTTGTCAAAAATTTGGGAAGAAATCATCTGAAAATTACTTCAATAACATACAGGGGCCGCTGCAGCTTTACCCGTCTGTTTGCTATTCACCTGTCTCCATGTGAAAAAACCACCTATGTAACATTTTTAAGCTCTGTTCTGAGATTATTGGAATACAACAAAAAGACATATGTTCCCTTTGGAGGAGGCAAGTGGTCAAGAAAGCAGAGGAGATATTAGGTCAATCTGATCACATTTTGACTAAGGAATTTGCAGCTATGGTCTCAGGCCGACGCTATTATGCGCCAGAACAGAAAACAAATACATATGCAAATTGATTTGTTTCCTCTGTGATCGGGCTACTCAATGCTGATGTGAGCCAGTGTACAGGTTTTCCTTATACAAGGAAGGGCCTCTTTCCTCTCAATAACTGATAATCTGTGTATTTTTGGTCTGTATACATAAATGAATTGCCCTTTGGGATTAATAAAGTATTCCTAATCTCTCTCTCTCTCTCTCTATCTGTCTGTTATTAACCTGTCTCCCTCACTCTACACTTTGTCTACAGAAGTTCAGAAGAAGAGTTCAGGAGTCGACTCAGACACTCAGAGAGCTCGAGATTTCTCTTCGCACAAACCACATCGGGTACCTGTGTTTTTGAATATCTGTCTGTCTGAACACCTTTCTGCGTCTCTAGCTGACCACCTGTCTCTCCCTCTGTAGGTGGGTCAGAGAGTTTCTGAATGAGGAAAATCGAGGTCTGGATGTTCTTGTCGAGTATCTTTCCTTCGCTCAGTACGCCATGACGTAAGTCAAGATGAATTTTAAACAATTAACTCCGATACAAAGCTACAAAGACACATTACTATGTCTTGCTTTCATTTTGAAATTAGGTTGGTATTGTTCACTTTGATTTGCATTTTGATGTATCATTGTAGGTGATGCAAAATAATGTTCAGTAATTACAAAATGGATCTCATTGATCTCATGTTTGTACTTTGTAATGTATTTATTGTACCAATGTAGTAGGTTAATTCCCCACATTGTATTGTTTAATTTGATGTTAAGAGTAATTTAACATGTTGGGACCAATAACATTATGAAAAACAGTTGCTTTGTGTAGGAAGTTTGTATATCTGTGTGTATGTGCATCTATGTATGGTCATGTTCAGGTTTGATAGTGAGCAGTCGGAGGCCGGAGGTGAAGTCTCATCCATTGACTCACCCTGGAGTAGGTCCATTGAGGATCTACATGGCGACTGCAGCCTCCCTTCCCCATCCACTTCTGTCCCTCGAGCTGCTCGGCACTCCATCAGGTGACAAATAATTTTAAAAATATCTAAAACAGTTCAACTCACCAGATGACATTCATTCTGACGTTGCTTATCTGCTCATAGTTCGACTCTAGTGACTCGCTCCAACACACTGCCGAGTCGTCGAACTCTGAAGAACTCACGCCTCGTCTGTAAGAAGGATGATGTTCATGTTTGTATCATGTGTCTCCGAGCCATCATGAACTACCAGGCAAGACTTCAACCTTTCATTTCATTTGATCTGTTAACATGTAACAGATTATTCTTTAGAGATTTCACTTTTCTGTTTCTCATGTAAAAAAGAAATTATTTCATCATTCTGATTTTCATTGATCACTGTTAAAATAACAAACCATAATCCTATGCTTCCTATTCACTCTACACACAAACAGCTTCAGATCTGTGCAAAAATTTTAAAACTTTGTTTTGCCTTTCCTTTGTTTGCCTGAGCCGATATATATAGATCATTTAATATAGGTTCAAAATTACATTTAAATCTGGTCACACAAACTGAGCTGGTACATTAAAATAGATGTGGCTGATCTTCATCTGTGTCCTCGTCTTCCTCAGTACGGTTTCAACATGGTGATGTCTCATCCTCATGCTGTCAATGAAATTGCTCTCAGTCTCAACAACAGGAATCCCAGGTCAGTAATTCTCACAAGTATACCACTACTACAAACGCAAACTACACACATACATACTATATGAACTACAAACTACTTAATGACTAGAGATAAAACTACTAAACTACTACTGAAAACCTGCAAAATACAACTAAAAACAGACAACAGCTTGAGAGAATAAATTGCAACCAATGTTAAATATATGACAAATGTCACGTGACGAAGCAAAACACTACAGAAAGATTTACTGTGTGTGAACAATATTCAACATGTCCAATTAAACTACATTAAGATAAATCTACTGATGGCACCCAAAGACAAAAATAATTATTCTTTTGTAAATTTTCTCCCTTGTCATCACCAGGACAAAGGCCCTGGTGTTGGAATTGTTGGCAGCGGTGTGTTTGGTTAGAGGAGGACATGAGATCATCCTGTCGGCTTTTGACAACTTTAAAACTGTAAAACAACATTACACATTCTATACTACAACTGGTTGCTTACTTGATTGATTTCACTGATAACTGACTGATCTATTGCAGGTGTGTTCGGAGTCGATGCGTTTTGAAAAGTTGATGGAGCATTTTAAGAATGAAGATGATAACATCGACTTCTTGGTACAAAGTGTTAACATTATAACATTATGTTAAACATAATTTGATCTTTTACTTACTCCATGTTTTCAGCTATTTTACCTTGCATTTGATTAAAGGTAATCGATTCAAACTCTTCATTTATACATATGAAGAGTCCTGTGATTTAGGTGGACAAAACTTTACACAAAAAAATCCTATATTCACTTTAACCTCCAACCTGATCGACCTGTTTAGCTCAGTGTCAGTGGCTAAAACGTACAACCAGCCAGTGACTGCATCTCCACCTGAGGACTGTTGAATATACTGTTATAGTACAGGTGTGAACCTGTCACTTCAGACTTTTAATATTTATATCAGAAATGATCATTCAATTCAGGTTTTGACACAACAGCCGTTAGTAAATGTTACTTTAACCTTGGCTAATATTCACTGTCATGTACTGTTAAGTTACGTTATGCTTATCTTAACAGAACTTGCCTGTAATTAACTGGTTAACTGAATGTGTTGTTACCATGGTAACGGTGGGCAGGTGGCGTGTATGCAGTTCATTAATATCGTGGTTCATTCTGTGGAGGACATGAACTTCAGAGTCCATCTGCAGTACGACTTCACCAAACTGAACCTGGACGAACACCTGGAGGTAACACAGCCACATGATCAGCTCTCAGCCAATCACAAGAGTGAAAATGTCATTCCTGAGCCTGTACTACATCCATGCTACTACCACCACAGTCGTGATCTATGTCTGTAGAGATTCTCAGTCATCCAGGTCATGGGATTTCCAGAAGTGCTGTTAGATGAAAACTGAACCCGCTTGTAGTTCTTGGAGATGTTTCACCTCTCAAAATTCATTTGGACTCATGATCAGTCTGAACCAAACAAGCTTTTTCAGATTAGAGGTGAAACGTTTTCAAGAAGCTCAGGTAAGTCCAACTGCCAACAAACCGCATATTTGGACAATCATGGTCATATAATCAGCTCTCGGCCAATCACAAGACAGCTGATGATTAACCAATTTGAACAAAAGACAAAGTGCATCACAAACCATCTCCCTTTGTGTCCCTCCTGTCTCACCTCAGAGACTGAAGCACACAGAGAGCGACAGGCTGCAGGTTCAGATTCAGGCGTATCTTGACAACGTGTTCGATGTTGGGACGTTGCTGGAGGATGCTGAGACCAAAACTGCTGCTCTGGAACGAGTGGAGGAGTTGGAGGAGAGCCTGTCAACGGTGAGACAGACAAGTGGTGCATTGACCTGTACCCATCTCTCTCTTTGTTCGCCTGTCCCGATGTGTTGGATCATCTCTCGGAGGTGGTGAACAAAGCCATGACAAACAGACAGACAGATACAGAGATACTTAGAAACAGATAGGTCTAAAGACAAACTGATATACAGACAAAAAAGGTGCCTTACTGATATGTCTCTCTCTCTCTCTCTCTCTCTCTGTGCGTTCAGATGTCAGAGCGCCTGCTGGATGTGGAGAATGAAGCAATGCTCAAGATTGTCGAACTGGAAAAACAGCTGATGCAAACCAACAAGGAGCTGGACCACCTCCGGGTCAGTGCTGTTACCATGGAAACCACACAGACACCATGGAGACAGAAAATGAGAGTAATATTAAAGGAACAGTTGTGAAAAGATGAAAATATATTTCTAAGTCCCTGATCAGTGAACACAGAAGCAGAAACTAGTTTATGAACTGTTAAATTCTCCCATCAATATCACTTCAAAAGACATTTAACACACCTGCTACCTGCACAGTAACGTGGTGCACTTAATACTTATACAGGAGGTGTACGCGAGCACAAACTCTCAGGTGAACACCTTGCGGCGGATGGTTCGGGAGAAGGACCAGACTATCCGGCGGCAGAGTCGTTTAGAGCGTCAGGCTCAGGAGGCCCAGCAGGCCGGAGGACCCGGAGCACCGCAACCCCAGAGAGGAGAAGGGGATGGGGTAGTGGCTGGCTCGGCCTCCCCCTCTCCTCCACCCTGCCATAACCTGTCCCCCAGGTTAGGGCTCAGCAGCATACAGCAGATAGAGAGAGAGACTAGCTGGTGAAGACAGTTGAGCATTTATCAGCCAAAGAGCCAGAGATTTGCCTCAGGTGATGTGGGAGGCCACACAGCTAAAAGGGAGGTGGTGGTGGAAATTAAATGTAAAATATAAAGGAACAAAAGAACCCCACACAAATACTGACACAGTGGAGTCTGTTCAGCATCTGCTGGATATACTGTATGAACAGAACTACTTTAATGGATGGGGAATTCAGCGACCTCAAGTGGTCAAAAGGATTAATGCAGCTTCAAAGATAATGGTTACTCTCACAGGAAGCTTTTACTAATTATCACTGATTCTTTAAATGAACCAATTAACAAGTTTGTGTAAATGTAAAGAACACCCCACTTTTGGTCGCAATTATCTCAAACTATCAGAAATCTGGAACAGACTGGAGTAGAGGGGTTATAGCAGTAACCAGTGTGTGATGTTATTGATTGGTTACCTAATTGATTTCTTTCAGCCCTGAGACCATAGCCTATCACAGCATGGGACCTGGGATGGGGGGAGCACCAGGGATGCCAGCACCGCCTCCTCCACCTCCTCCACCACCAATGCCAGGCACAGGTGTGTATTAGCACCAGCCAGTCAGAGCACTGATCTGATTTGAAGGTTTTATCAGAGACACTAGCTGGACAAATACTTCTTACTGCTGTAAACACTGCCAGTACTCCCAGCTATCAGCACTAAAGGACAAACTTACTAAATGACAATTCTTGTCTGTGTCTTCAAAGTGTCCAACGGG